TTTTTTTTACCAACGGAGGCACGAGAGCTCAGCTCTCCCCCGGCCTCCCCCTCCCCTTCTCTATCATTAGCGGTTGCAATTACATCAGCAGATTCGGCACATTCGCGATAGAATAGCAGCGCTTTCACTTTATGGTATTACAACAGTGAAATTACAAACAAAAAAAAGACACATTCTGAGACATGAACTGAAATGAATTGTGAATTTTATTAACATTAAGTCGTCCTCCTCCCATTTTCACCTCAAAATTATGGGGAAGCTGTGCCTCCCCTGCTTCCCCTGACGAGCTGCCACTGGTCATGTGTGAATTTTTAATAAAACACTATGTGTAAGATATCACTATGTTAAAGTAGAACTTGTAAAATAGGCCTACCTGTTTAGGCCAGACGGTTTACATATGCATGATCATACATGATCAAAAGCAGATCTTCTCTTCATTATTTTAAGTTATCAATGCAAAATGTGTAATGTGTCACTGCATGTTGACATGAATGCATAAAGAAATACATATTGGTATATAATAAATATATAATAAATCAACTATTATGTTTTTTCTTGTTCTGAATGATATAAAATGTGAAAAGCAGTTATGTATGGGATTACCTTTGTGCCAATTAAAATGAATGTAATTTTTCAAGAAACTTATGAAAATATAAGTTGAAACTGAATAAAATGTCTTTGAAACTGAAAAAAAATTAAATGCAGGCAAAATCTTTGACCTCGTTTTTAATACACTGCATGTTTTGCAACTGTTTTCTCTTCTTTCATTAGCTGATCTGTACTTACAAATGCGCTTCCAGAGTTTTCATTTACGCTTCTAAAGTTTTCGTTTACGCTTCTGAAGTTTTCATTTACGCTTCTGAAGTTTAAGGCTTTACATTGCTAAAGTTGACAGTGCAGTGATCGACAGCGCGCTTGTAAACTGGCATCGGTCATTGTCAGATACAGTACATTTAGTACTGTACATTATGTGCTGGGGGAAAATATGAACTAATCGAAGCAAATATGATCCAATTGAAGACTGTAACTGTATGTAGATAACCAGGTCCTGTAATGATTGGGCTAAATCAAGAAAACTTACCGCAAGTATCCTGATAACAACGATGATTGATGATAATGATGATGAAATCATTCGTCTGTGCTATTCCTAAGAAATCATCTCAACAATGTAGTGTAGCAGCAGATAAATACTGATAAAATAATAATAAAAAAATCTTTATATATCTTTTTATATCATTAAAATGAAATTGGAAGCCGCTAACAGATGCTCACATCCACACTGGCAAGGCAACAATGTCACTGACGCCTTCACTGCCAGGTCAAGAAGCTGTCAATCAAGAACTCAGTAGCCAATGAGAACACACTGCTGCTAGCCCCGCCCCCACGAGAGATTTGTGTCAGAATGGCGAACGAAAACTTCAGAAGCGTAAATGAAAACTCTGGAAGCGCATTTGTAAGTACAGATCAGTTAATGAAAGAAGAGAAAACAGTTGCAAAACATGCAGTGTATTAAAAACGAAGTCAAAGATTTTGCCTGCATTTAAAAAATTTTTCAGTTTCAAAGACATTTTATTCAGTTTCAACTTATATTTTCATAAGTTTCTTGAAAAATTAGATTCATTTTAATTGGCACAAAGGTAATCCCATACTTATGTGGGTGAAAATGCCTTCGTCTCAGAGGAGAATGGCCAGACTGGTTTGACCTGATAGAAAGGCAACAATGATTCTAATAACTATTTGTTTCAACCGAAGAATGCAGAAGAGTATCTCTGAACACTCAACACGTCGAAACTTGACGTATATAATCAGAATCAGAATCAGAATTAGCTTTATTCGCCAGGTGTGTGCACACCAATTGTACTTCTCTTTAAACACTCTTAACTCATTAAGGACGTTGCTTGTTAAAGTGACGCTGTCAGTGGAATTGTAGAAAAGCATGGAATGCAAGTATATGGTTGTATAACAGCTGTAAAGTGTACCTTTTGCATTTACAATATTTAAAAATACTGTCCAGAAATATTTGTAACCATAATATTACTTTGACTTTCTTTTTATGCACTAAAGGTTGACACTGAATTTTCCAAGCTTACAGATGTGAAAGAAGACTTGTTCATCAGGAAGTGGGAAGGAACCAAAAAAGTAGCATTTTTGGAGAAGAACATGGACATCAGTCACTTATAAGAGAAAGCAGACAATCAGCATAATGGTATATTTTCTGCCTCTATGTGACATGCACACATTTGATCATTTCAAAAATAATCTTGTTTTAAAGAGCCTTTGCATGACTCTCTTTCATTTTCCACCCAATGGCATCTGGGAAAAGTGTTGCCGGCAGTAAATGCTGAGGGAATTCTGCTGTCTCATACCTGTTGGAGTTGGTGCCAGTATGCATTGTTAATGTGTTTGCTTTTAATAAACAAAGTTGTTGCTCAAGCAGAAACATTTTCTGATACTTTTCATTTTTGTAGGCTGGTGCCAGCATGACCTCCTTACTGCATGAGTCCATGAAAGGGTCCCTGACGTCAGCTCAGCTGGTTTCCATTGGTTCACTTGAACATGGAGCCCAGTACGTAATTGTGGTGAAAAATAATTATTTTGCCCTTCATCTCGATCTGTGTCAACTATCATTGAGATTGTCTGTCTGTCTTTTGACCAGTTTTTTTTTATTCAATTAATTGTTTTAAGAGCAGAATGCATTAGATCAATGCATGCCTTACGAAAGTATTAATTTTTTTCACCTTTTGTTATGTTGCTTCCTTGTGTTAAACTGCTTTAAATTACTTTTTCCACATCAATCTATACTCCATATACCATATTGCTAAAGCAAAAACAGAACTGTCACAACTTCGTAAATTTATTAAAAAAAAATAAAAAAAACTGAAATAAGTACATTGCATAAGTATTCATACCCTTAATTAAATATTTAGCTGAAGCACCTTTACAGTCTCAAGTCTTTTTTGTTTAATGTGACAAGCTTTGCTCATCAGCATTTGGCAATTATCTGTTATTCTTCTCATCACCTCTTCAACTCTCAAGCTCTGTCAGGTTGGATGGGGGCAGATGCACATTTTTAGGTTTCTCCAGAAATACTTGATTGGGTTCAAGCTCAGGCCAAGCTCAAGGACATTCGCAGAGTTGTCTATAAGCCACTCTTGCTGTGTGCTTAGGGTTATTGTCCTGTTGGAAGTTAAACCTTCTGCCCAGTCTGAGGTTCTGAATGCTTGGACTGGGTTTTCATTAAGGCTCTCTCTATATTTTGCTGCACTGAGCTTTTCTTCTACTCTGATGTGTCCCTCAGTCCCTGCCGCTGAAAAACAGCCCCACAGCATGAGGCTGCTACCAAGACCATATAATCTTGTTTCTCAGAGTTTGAGAGTCCTTTAGGAGCTTTTTTGCAAATTCCAAGTGTGTTTTCATGTGTCTTCACTGAAGAGAGTATTGAGTCTTGCCACACCGCCATAAAGCCCAGATCGGTGGAGTGTTGCAGTGATGTTTGTCCTTATGTAGGTTTCTCCCATCTGCATATATGATCATGTAGCTCAACTAGAGTGACCATCAGGTTCTTGGTCACCAGTCTAGACAAGGCCCTTCTCCATCAATTGCTCAGTTTGGCCAGGAGGCCTGCTCTTGGAAGAGTTCTGGTTGCTTCCATTATGGATAATGGAGACTACATGCATCTGTGAACCTTCAATGCAGCAGATTTTTTTCTGAACTCTTTCCCAGATGTGTGATTTGATGCAATCCTGTCTCTGAGCTCTACAGGCAGTTTTTTTTTTTACCTCAGGGCTTGGT